CCAAAGATTAATTGACCATAAAGTTGTAGGTTCATTTCTGGGTTTTCTATTCTGTTCCATTGATCTATGTGTTAGAGACAAACTTTTAATAATATTTTCCAAAGCACTGAAGTAAGTTTTCATAGAAAGAACAGCTCTTTCTGCATTTATATTTCATCACTTTACATTACATTTCCTTAAATAACTTAATACATTAACATGTACAACTGGCATAAATAACTTTTGGAACAAACTCAGCAGACTCTTAGTAAGCACAGAATTTGAATAGTGGGAGGAGAGGCATATGAAGGTACTAAGAAAACAGCCAACTATCAGCATTTAGACTGCCCTGGGCATCAATTAGAATGCTCTATAGAGGAAACAGAATATTGATTATTTTGGCAAATAGTTGACTGATAGTGTGGTTAAAGGAACTTCTTTGTATTTTGTTCTGATAAGATGATACTTTAAACTGATATAACAAAGACAAAGGATCCACTTAATCACTATCTCTAGGTAGTATAGATTTTTGTCAATGAGTTCAGATTTTTACAATTTATTTTCATTGTTACTGCAATGAAAAAAAAAAAATCTCTTTGAACTAAAAGTGAGCTCCAAAGAACCACTGATGTATAATTTTCCTCAACCCTTTCTGAAAGATGTCCCTGCAAAAGATAAGCAATTTACAATGTACCCAGAACATAACTTCAAGCTATTAAAGTAATGGAATAGTTCTCTTATAATAAAGGATTGTTGGTTTTATTCCTCAGAATGTGCTACATGTTTGGGAGATGGGCATGGACATTGTGTCTCGGTGTCTTTCTGCACCACTATTTAACTTTAAATGTATGTGAGGCCCTTCCTCATGTAGTGGGATTCAGAGTTCTAGACATCCCTTAGTTCAACCAAACAAGAAACTATATTTCTTTTTTGTTTGTTTGTTTTCCTTTTGCTTTTGGGTGATTTTCAGAAGGTCAAGGTAGAAAATTCCATTTTACTCCATTTTAAGACCAGATTTCTCACGCCAATCTTTGCAAAAATAGTTAAATTTAAAGATATTTAAAAAGCATCTGCAATCAAAGTCATTCGTTTACATGCACATGCACATGCACACACACACACACATCTTTCATAATTTCTTCGGAAATTAAATATTCAGACTTTATACACATTATTTCAAAGGTCACTGACATAATAATTTATTCCCAAGCCTTCAGAGAAAAACAAAATATGAGAAGACCCACTTCTTAGTTAAAATACAAATGATAGAGGGGCACTTGGGTGGCTCAGTCGGTGAAGCATCTGCCTTCGGCTCAGGTCATGATCCCGGGGTCCTGGGATTGAGCCCTGCATCTGGCTCCCTGCTCAGTGGGAAGCCTGCTTCTCCCTCTCCCACTCCCCGTGCTTGTGTTCCCTCTCTCTCTGTGTCTCTCTCTGTCAAATAAATAAAATCTTTTAAAAAAAATTAAAAAATAAAATACAAATTATAGAGACTACCTTAATATTTTGTTTTGGAATAATTTATGATTTACAACTGATTTTTATTATAAATTTCCACATTTTCTTTTGGTATTATTTTTCTTAATTCTGAAGAATTTCCTTCATAGTTTTAATGATGCAAGTCTGTTAGTGACAAATTCTTTTTCTTTTATCTGAAAATGAATTTGTTTTGTCTTCATTAACAAGGTATGATATCAGATTTCAGATTTTTTCCAGCACTTAACAATGTTTTTCTACTATCTACTGACTTCCCTTGTTTCTTATGTTACTGTTTATTAAATAATTTTCCCCTGATTTAATGCATTACTTTTCCTTGCTGTTTCAAATTTTCTCCATCACTGGTTTTAAGCAGCTCACCTATGATATGTCTAGCAATGGTTTTTGTTGTATTTATTCTGTTTGGGCTTCACTGAATTTCATGAATCTGTAAATTGATACATCTCACCAAATTTGTGATTTTGTTTGCCATTATTTCTTCAAATACTTTTTTCAGCTTCATTCTCTCTTCTCTTTCTGGAATTCCAATAATACTATGTTAGATATCTGCTCATTTAAAAGACAATGTTTCTGTTTTTCACATAGGACACTTTTTTTTTTATGATGATAAGTATACTCTTTAATCCTCATCACCTATTTCACCCATCTGCCCCACCCACCTCCCCTATGGTAACCATCATTTTGTTCTCTTTTTTCTTGGTTTGTCTCTCTTTTTTCTTTCCTTTGCTCATGTTTTTCACTTCTTAAATTCCACATATGAATGAGATCATATGGTATTTGCTATTTCATTTAGCATTATACTCTCTAGCTCTATTGATGTTGTTGTAAATGGCAAGATTTCATTCTTTTTTATGGCTGAGTAAAATATTCCATTATATATATGTATATCTAGACACATCTAGAAAAATGTTGCTATGGCCAATGTCAGAGAAATTACTGCCTGGGTTCTCTTTTGGGATTTTTATGGCTTCAGGTCTCATATTTAGTTCTTTAATCTATTTTAACTTTATTTTTGTGTATGGTGAAAGAAATGGTCCAGTTTCATTCTTTTGCATGTAGCTTTCCAGTTTTCCCAACACCATTTGTTGAAGAGACTTTTTCCCATTTTATATTCATTCCTCCTTTGTTGAAGATTAATTGAGCATTTATCTGTGGGTTTCCTTCTGGGTTTTTTGTTCTATTCCACTGATCTGTATGTGTCTATTTTTATGCCAGTATCATACTGTTTTAATTACTATCGCTCTGTAATGTAACTCGAAATCTGTGATTGTGGTGGGTCCAGTTATGTTTTTCTTCTTCAAGATTGCTTTGGCTATTTGGGGTCTTTTGTGGCTCCATATAAATTTTAGGATTGTTTGTTCTAGTTCTGTTAAAAATGTTGTTGGTATTTTGATAGGGTTTGCATTAAATCTGTAGATTGCTTTGGGTAGTATGAATATTTTAACAATATTTGTTCTTCCAACTGATGAGCATGAAATGTCTTTCTATTTCTTTGCTTCATCTTGAATTTCTTTTATCAGTGTTTTATGGTTTTCAGAGTAAAATCTTTCACCTCTTTAGTTAGGTTTATTCCTAGGTATCTTTTTATTTTTGGTGCAATTGTAAATGGGATTGTTTTCTTAATTTCACTTTCTGCTGCTTCATTATTAGTGTATAGAAAGACACAGATTTGTGTACACTCATCTTGTATCCTATGGCTTTACTGAATTCATCTATCAGTTCTAGTAGTTTTTTGGTGGAGTCTTTAAGGTTTTCTACATATAGTATTATGATATCTGCAGTAAGTGAATGTTTTACTTCTTCCTTACTAATCTGGATGCCTTATATTTCTTTATATTGTCTAACTGCTGTGACAGATGGGATAATTTCTATTGATCTATCTTCAAATTTCCTGTTTTTTCCCTGGCATTTCCATTTTGCTGTTAAGTCTATTGCATTTTTTAATACTACAAGTTCCCTTTTGTTTGTTTTATAGGCTCTATTTTTCTGCTGAGATTTATTTTAATTCATAACAAGCATACTTCCTTTACATTCTTGATCACAGTTATAAAAGCTGTGTTATAAAATCTTGGGTTTTTATGAGGATGGAAAAGGAAGGTAGCCTGAAGGTGAAATGTTACTGTGGCAAGATTTCCCCCTTGGTATTTAACAAGGTGAAGTAGGAGAATCTGGGAACCATGTTCTCCTGCTTCTCCTTGCCAAAAAGGGGGTTAGATGAGGTGGTCGGACTATGAAAAGCAAAGAGTGGGATTCGTCCAGGCTCACGCAATAACCTTTTGATTTTTTTTTTTTTTCAAAAAGGAGACTCCCCTGGAAAGATGGTGGAGAAAGTGTCTTCATTCCCAGTTTCTCACATTAGCCAATTTGAAGGCTCCTTGTGGTGGGATCAGAAATAATTCAGAGTGTGGGAAAGTGAGAGTTAAACCCCGCTTGGGGCAAATAAAAAAACATACAAAACAGAAGAAAGAAGAAAGAAAGAAAATCAATCTTGGGTTTTTAGGGCAATAAAATAGTCATAAAATCTTGAAGCTGGTCTCCACTGATTTTCTTTCCTTCTGAATCGGGCATTTCTCCAATTATTCATATTTTGTGTACTTTTGAGTGTACATTAATGCTGTAAACCTTGTGGAGACTCTAGATTTCATTTTGTAATGTTTTTCTAAAGAGTATTATTTTTTAAAATAGGCTGCTAATTTATTAGCACATTGAACTCATAATGTGAGCAATGTCTCTCCTGTGGTGGATGACAGCTTAGATCTCAATTCAGTTCCTTTCCCTTAGTTTTACTTGTTGCATTCCATCTCACTCATGTGGAATTCAGGGGTCAGCCAGAGATTTGGTCAGAGACTATTCATAATATTTGGGCATCTCTCTCCCAGGCTCTTTCTTCTGCCATTTTTCTCTTCACTTTTCAGTGGCTGTGGTTTCCCAGAACTTTTTCCTCTGTTTTTTCAAGCCAGTTAGACTACAAATTTTCTATCATAATATTATCCACAAAGCTGGCAGTGACTGGGGCCTATCTTCAGGCCAAAAGACACTAAAAATAGAAAATAGAATTTCACCTAGTACCTTAACTTTCTTCCAACAGTCAAGTTTATTCCCAGTTTCTGCTTGCATTTGGTCATAATACAATGCCTTATAATTATTATTTTTTTTAGTATTTTGCCCAGTGTAGTGTTATCTTTACAAGGTTGCTCTGATAAGGGATACTTAGCCATTACTGAATGCTGAACACATCCTCCCTTATATGTATTAAATATCTACACATGAGAAGACAAAATAGTCACATGGATACTCAAAAATACCAAGTTGAGTTGATCTAAAGGTTTGGCTTCAGAAAAAAATAGAGGAGGTTCTTTGATTCTTATAGTTGCTCACTATTTCTCTCCAAGCAGAAAATTAAGGGAAGAGAGAATCATATGATTTGTCTTTAAAATAAAGCAGAGAAAGTAGACTTTGCAGAAAAAGTGGTGTGAAAACAGGTATGTTTCTAGAGTAGTAAAAACATATTGCCAAGTGGCCCTCCCGCCGCCGACCGCCCTCGCTCGCTCGCGCTCCGCGCCCGCCACCCGCCGTTCTCCGTCGGTTCTCTCGTTAGTCTGCTGCCGTCTCCTCAGCCACCCGCCCGTCTCCGAGCTTGCGACTCGCGGACAGGCGTCCTCGGCGCAGAGAGGCCGGACTGCGAGTCGTCGCCTGAGTGCCCTTCATCTGAGAAGTTCAAGGCACTTGTAGAACTTCTGCCACACAGGCCGTGGGGTCTTGCAGCACATTTGTAAGCATGGCTGCCATCCGGAAGAAACTGGTGATTGTTGGTGATGGAGACTGTGGCAAGACTTGTTTGCTCATCGTCTTTAGCAAGGACCAGTTCCCAGAAGTGTATGTACCCACAGTGTTTGAGAACTATGTGGCAGATATTGAAGTTGATGGAAAGCAGGTAGAGTTGGCTTTGTGGGATACAGCTGGGCAGGAAGATTATGATCGCTTGAGGCCTCTCTCCTATCCGGACACTGTTATACTGATGTGTTTTTCCATTGACAGCCCTGATAGTTTAGAAAACATCCCAGAAAAATGGACCCCGGAAGTCAAGCACTTCTGTCCCAACGTGCCCATCATCCTGGTTGGGAACAAGAAGGATCTTCGGAATGATGAGCACACAAGGCGGGAGCTAGCCAGGATGAAGCAGGAGCCGGTGAAACTGGAAGAAGGCAGAGATATGGCAAACAGGATTGGCGCTTTCGGTTACATGGAGTGTTCAGCAAAGACCAAAGATGGAGTGAGGGAGGTTTTTGAAATGGCCACAAGAGCTGCTCTGCAAGCCAGACGTGGGAAGAAAAAATCTGGGTGCCTTGTCTTGTGCAACCCCGCTGCAAGCACAGCCCTCATGCGGTTAATTTTGAAGTGCTGTTTATTAATCTTAGTGTATGATTACTGGCCTTTTTTCATTTATCTATAATTTACCTAAGATTACAAATCAGAAGTCATCTTGCTACCAGTATTTAGAAGCCAACCATGATTATTAATGATGTCCAACCTACCCGACCACCAGGGTCCTTCTAACACCGCTCTAACAGCCCTCCTCTGCACTCCCACCTGACACACCAGGCGCTAATTCAAGGGATTTCTTAACTTCCTGCTTCTTTCTAGAAAGAGAAACAGTTGGTAACTTTTGTGAATTAGGCTGTAACTACTTTATAACTAACATGTCCTGCCTGCCATCTGTCACCTGCAAGGTGCTCTGGTGAGTCCCTACTTCAGAGCTTTACTCCTTCACTGTATCCAGGGTCCCTCCCACAGGAGCCACCAGTTCTCTTGGGTGGCACTCTTTCTTCTCTCCAGCTGACTGAACTTTTTTTCTGTACCAGTTAATTTTTCCAACTACTAATAGAATAAAGGCAGTTTTCTAAAAAAAAACAAAAAAAACCCCCCAAAAACCATATTGCTAAGTGTATTTTGATATGCATAGATAAGTCTGAAGGCATGTAATATAATTAACAAATTTTAAATTATGCATATATATATATATATATCTGTGTGTGTGTGTGTGTGTGTGTGGAGAGAGAGAGAGAGAAGGGGGGGCAGGGCACGTATTAGGGCACATATCTTCACATTCACAGTCAATTTAATTTAAAATGCATGGAGTACTCTAATACCAACTTACCTGTTCCTTATTTTTGTGCATATCCTACCACATCTTGGTTTAGAAAAACATGTACTTCAGCCTTAAAATGTAAGGATTTTTAAAAATGAGGTTTGCTTTACATGGATCACTAAGTAATTGAGAGGCTTATAATTTAGCAAACGATAGTAATTATTACTTAGTGCATTATTATGTTTAAGTATATGTGCAATAAATGAAGAACTGCACATGAAATAGTACAAATTTTCTCCAAAATGGTAGTAATATTGACAATCATAAAGGTATAATTAGATTCTACTCCCTCCTTAGCCAATAAATTGCTAATGGTTGCTGAAAAAGACTAGTTTCAGTTTTCTTTAATATTAAAAGTGGTGGGTTTTTTTTTTACACATTGATTCCTAAATGCAAGGGGTTATTTCATGTGGCTAACTTGAGTAGAGGTACGAGAGTGGGCTCTAATCATATTTTATTGGATTACTGGCAAATTTAGAAAAATTGCAGGAACAAGTAATAGCTTTTTTCTCCTATACCTTTACATAATCATTTATGAGTATTGTCTCCATGAAGCTAGCTAATGGTTTTCCATAATAATCAGGAAACCCATTTTGCCAGTTATCCAGGTTCAAAATCCGAGTCATTTCTGACTTTTCCATCATTCTCACAATCACTGTAGTCACAGAGCCCTATTTTTACTTACTTCATAATGTCCTCCCTATCTGTTCTTCCTTTTTATTATTGAAATTGACCTGGATCTGATGCTTAATGCCTCATATCTGTACTACTACCATTGATTTATCACACCTTTCCTTGTTATTGACATCCTTACCTCCAGTCTATCCTGCACAGTGCTGCTACTAATAATAGTCCTAACTATTGCTAATAGTCCTAAAATATTGCTTTTTACTGTTAATTGCTTGGTCATTAATACTCGATGGTTCATTATTCTATAAAGAGTTTAAACTCCTTAACCTGGTGGCAAACATCACTCCAGCTTGAACCATCTATTTCACCAGTTTAAGCTACTCATTACTCCTCCAAGCATGGCATATTGCTGCAGGGTAGGGGCAGTATAGTTCTCTGTTGAATTTTAATGTTTTAAGCCTCCATTTGGATTCTGATGAGGGTGATCCATGGAACAAAAGGAGAAGTGTTGGTCTATCCATTTATTTATGCTCTTGAGACATACATTCCATTTTTAAACAAAACAACTTCAAGATTACTCTAGCAAAGAAAACATCTCTCTGTCCCACATTCACTCATTCAGCTCTCACAGAGGACTACTCTGTTTTTCAGAATAGCTACTCCACCCCTTTTTATCCCCTTAACTTGCTTTATTTTCCTCCATACCACTTATCATTGTTTGGTATTACATTATATCTATTATCTGTTAGTCTATTTTCTTATTATTTTCCCCACTTTAAAATCAGCTTCATGATACTGTGTAGTTCACTCCCACAGTATTGGCAGAGCCTAGAACAACATAGCAGGTACTCAAGAAATACTGTTGAACAAATGAATTTGACAACATATAAGCATTTTATTGTTAATGGTCTTTTTGTGAATGTTCCTGACGATCCAACAATATAGTATGCTCTTGAGGGTAGGGCCTCCTTCATAGTTTTTTGTACTTTATTTTATAGCACCCAACCCAGTGGCACATATTTGCTGATACACATTGCTCTAGTGACATGAGTCTGAAATGACATTGATAATTGACTTGAGTTTTATTCTTTAAGTAATAATGTGGAAGAAAGAATAATGTCCACCCCCCCAAAAATGTCCATGTTCTAATCCGCAGAACCTGTTAATATGTTACTTTGCATGACAAAGGGGACTTTACAGATGTGACTATGGTTAAGGACCTTGAGATGGACGGATTATTCTGGATTATCAAGGAATGCCCAACCTAATCTCATGAGTCCTTAAAAGTGGAGAATCGTTCCCAGCTGCGGAGAATCAGAGACATAGTAATATGGTAACAACTAAGACTGCTGTTGCTGGCTTTGAAGGTGGAGGAGGTTGGGGCCATGAGCCAAAGAATGTGGGTAGCTTCTAGAGGCTAGAAAAGGCAAAGAAATGGATGCTCCACCAGAGTCTTCAGAAAGAAATGCAGTTCTGCTGATGCCTTGATTTTAGCCCAGTGAGGTCCCTATTGGATTCAGGATCCTCAGAGATCATTTTAAGCCACTAAATTGGTGATAATTTGTTTGGCAGTGATAGAAAATGAATGTAAACAATTTCAATAATAAAAATAAGCACTTCAACTTCTCCATATGAGAAATGAAGCAGATTCTCTGCAGGGCTGGAGAATTTTCCTTATAGGCTCAATTATAAGATAATTTTGAATATAAAGACTTTTTCTATTTTCTCAAGGAGAAAGAAAATTTAAAAAGAGTGTGTGGCTAACTTGAATATAGAAAATTGTATAAATAGAAGTTAAATAAGCAAGTATCTACTTATAATATTGACTTTGAAAATAATAAATTAATTACACATGTATATTTAAAACCACACATTTAGCAATGTTATTTTCTCTCTCTCATGTTTCATGAAACAATTTTATTCACACTCTACTTGCAAATTTAACATCAGTTGTGATCATCACTAAAGTTTCTTCTTGAGTGACCTAACCCAGTTTTCCAGAGCACAACATACTTATTTCTATCTAAGACATTTTGGAGAAAACACTTTTTAAATCTACATATAATGCTGTCTTGAGAAATGTATCCTAAGTCATAAGTATGTATCTGTTTTCATCATTTTTATGATATAACCATTTATATATTTGCTTTTAAAGTAGTCGTTAAAAGGCTTATTTACAATGGCATCTAAAATCTGCAATTGTGAGGTCATCTCCCCTCTCCATGGACAATCATTTTAAATTTAGTATTAATTTTTCATTGTCCTCTTTTTTCTTACCAATTGTGACTGGTAATTTCTATTAGCATCCCAAACTAGCATTAATAGGGATTATTTTAACTAATGTATCTTCTCTAAGTAGTTGTTTAAAACAAAGTAATTCTGAAAGGTCTTGTAATATGAGAGAAGAATGATAAAGATCTCTTCTATACGATAAAAATTTGGAGCTAAAAATTCACCTTTTATTCAGGAAGATAAATAATTTCATTTTATTTACTTAGTTTTCTTCCTTTTATATGGCTTCTTTCATACAGATATTTCAATGATACCCTATTTAATATTCTCTTTAATTGCCATGTGCTATTTTCCCTAGTCCCCTATTCATAAACCTTTAAACTGATTCCCACTTCCAACAATGAAAAATGATGATGCAATAAACATTACCTGGCATATATTGTTGCATACTTGTATATTTCTACAGGATAAATTCCTAGGGATAGAATTGCTATGTGAAATGGAACAAGCATTACACATTTGAAAACTATTGCCAAATTGACCTACAAATATATAAATAAATTTATGTTGCCATGCATAATGGCATGAAAAGGTCCTTCTCATCTCTCTGATGGTAGGGAGTGTAATTGACCTACAGCCCAGCTGCAGCACTTTGAAATCCATCACTGTGTTTGCTCTGTTCAGAGGCCATTTTTCTTACCAGTTGCTCCCAGCCAGTAAATAACTGAGCACAGCAGAGATAAGACAGGTCTACTTTTGAGACATTCAGGACCGCTCTGATGGGCGACTTTGGCTCAGGGATGCCCCAGTGACCTTGCAGAAGTCTCTTAGGATCACAGTGCAGGCTAGAATGCTTTTTTTTTTTTTAAGATTGTTTATTTATTTATTTGACAGAGAGCGAGAGCACAAGCAGGGGGAGCAGCAGGCAGAGGGAGAAGCAGGCTCTCCACTGAGCAGGAGCCCAATATGGGGCTTGTTCCCAGGACTCTGGGATTATGACCTGAGCCTAAGGCAGACGCCTAACTGACTGAGCCACCCAGGCACCCGGCTAGAATGATTTTATCCAACCTTTGTTTCTCCCTTCTTTACCTTTCTCTTTCATCCAGAAGGCCACATGTATAGGACTGTGAGCAGGCCTAGGGCTATGCACATGTTCAGGAAACATCTGAGAAGGCCCTCACCTTCTCACCTAAGAAGCTCTCACCTCTCACTAACCTTGAGGCTTTAAACAAGCAGGAAGTGAAAGCTAAGGTGGAGTTGTAAACTGCCTAGGGAAGTGTTTAGGAAATTATCTTGGCATATACACATCCCCACACAGAGCCCTGTTACAAAAACTAGGAGATTTATTGGTTCCAGGTATCTAAGGAAATCTCGTATAATCATTAGCTGCCCAGTAAGCAGCCTAAGCAGAGATGTCAGAGGTCACACATGACAAAGAATAC